TCTGGATTTTTTTACCTCAATTTGTCTGTCATAGTTGACGTGTACCTATGATGAAAATGACAGGCCTCTCTCATCTTTTTAAGTGGGAGAACTTGCACAATTGGTGGCTGACTAAATACTTTTCCCCCCCACTGTATATCTCCTAGATATAGGACAGACACTTCAAAACCTTATTTCTTATAATTTATTTTTTACTGTCTATTTTTGCCATTTATGAATGTGTTATTCAATGTGTTTCTATGGGCTATAGTAGTAAAGGCCAAATTCAATATTTATCAAATCATACAATTATTTAAAAAAATATTACCTAAAGGGGTCCTAAAATTCTAAATTTACATTTACGTCATTTAGCAAATGTAAATTTAGAATTTTAGGACCCCTTTAGGTAATCTTTTTAAATCAAATAGCTAAATGATAGATGGTATGACCATCTTAAAAAAATAAACAATGGCTTAGACTGAGGTTAAGTAACTGATTTCCTTTCCCTTAAGTTGTCGGAAACCACTGCAGAGACTCACCTGATGGAAAAGGAGCTGGAAGAGGTGAAAAATCACAGTCGAAGGAAGAAGTGATGAATAGAAAACTGAAGACGGGTTCCCAGTGACACCAGAAAAGGAATGAATTAAAAGGAAGGGGATAGATAAGGGATGGTGATGGATGGCTGTGTTAGTGACCAACTGTATGGACTGTAAAATTAGAATAATTGTTAAATGGATTTGAAATCATTGAAGGTATGAGAGTTTAAATGTGCCCTGTCCTTTTATAAAAATGAATTTCTTTGATTCATTAACTTTTGTAAGCATTATATCAGTGCTGAACTATTTTAGAATACTATGATTTCTATTCAACCCCCTGTATGTGTGGTTTTGGCAGCTGTGTGTATTTGAATATTTGTTTTCATATCCTTTCTACTTTATTAAAAGATCTTAACTACATTTCATAAAGTTATGTTTTGTTTGCATACATGTCTATTAGTATACAAGTGCCCATACTAATGCGAGCTTAGACCAACCTCTGATGGAAACTAGCAAGAATGGTAAAGGTAAATTGGGTATTATCAGGAGATAGATTATAGTGGTTGGTATTGGAACAAGGGTTGTTTTGCAAACATTTGGCACCAGAATGGACAACACTTCCGGAACTTTCTGATTAATTCAACGTAATAGCAGGCAACATGTCCTTAGAATTGTCGGAAACCCAGGATTGACAGGGACTCGGTGGCAGCAGAGGGATGCAGATGACTTTGAACTCACAGGTCAGGTGAGATTGTTGTTATTACAATGTAACTACTAGAATATTGTTACACCAGATGCTGAATGTGAGGAATGTCATTAGAGGTAGGCAATTTTAATTCTGTAGCTCAAAAACAAGCTGGTTTCAGAGATATCAGCAGATTTCTCCAGCAGTTTATTTCATTATAAATACTGCATACACTGCAGACTATTATTCAGCTAAAACGTATTTACTGTAACATTCCAGTAATAATGTTTGTGCCATGTGTTTAGCAATGTAGAAGTGTGCAAGAGAAAAGGTTTGAGTAGCAGATCATTTTTCTTAAAGAAGGATAACTGTAGATTCCATTAACTCAAAATGAACTTTTATTGGTGGGGATGCTTGAGAAGATTGTGGTGAAATGGGTCAGTGAATGTCAAGATCAGACACCAGCAACTAAGCAGATATTTAATTCAAGACCTAAACAAACAAGCCCACCAATCAAGTATATAGAGTTACGTCAGACTTCTGTGTGGCAAGAGACAATTCTATAGTAACAGGCTTCTCGCACTGAGATGAACAACAATCTCAGACACAATCTCAGACAAATTCAATCTGATTAGCTTTTACAAACAGGCCAAGTCACTGTAAACAGATGCAATAAATACAATCATAATCCAAAGGCTTAGTCAGTTGTTCATTGAGTAAGCATTGCACAAGTGGCCCACTAACATACCCCACTCCTGCCTCGTAGAAAATAACATCCTCTTGACGGACAATGAGAGTCAGTACAACCAAGAGGATGGGGGCTGGACCACCTGATGGTGGCTGGGGGCAGGATGGTACTGCTCAGCTGTTTCGTTGTTACTGGGTGCTCCTACACCTTCCCCAAAGCCATCAGTGTCTACTTCAAAGAGCTGATGAGGGACTTTGATGTTGGCACACAGCGACAAGCCTGGATCTCCTCCATCATGCTGGCCATGCTCTATGGCTCAGGTCAGAAGTTGATCAAAGTGATGCTATAGGGGCCTCTGAGCTTGAATCCTACACGAAAAACAAAGCTGTCAGATGACAACAAAAGTACTGCATTCAATGGGAGAATCAAAATAGAAAATGTGATCATCTTGGAAATGTATTTTGTCTGGAGATGCAAGTTCTCTCTATCTCTCGTAGTTCTGCATCATTTCATTAACAAATATACATGTCCTGTCTGTCTGTGAACTATACTGAACAAAAATATAAACGCAACATGCAACAATTTCAATTGTTTTACTGAGTTACAGTTCATATAAGGAAATCAATCAATTGAATAAATTAATTAGGCCCTAATCTATGGATTTCACATGACTGGGCATTATTACAGACAGAAATACTCTTCAGTTACATCAGCTGTCCGGGTGGCTGGTCTCAGACGATCCCGCAGGTGAAGAAGCCGGATGGTCCTCGGCTGGCGTGGTTACACGTGGTCTGTGGTTGTGAGGCCGGTTGGACGTACTGCCAAATTGTATAAAACTACATTGGAGGCAGCTTATGGTAGAGAAGTGAACATTCAATACTCTGGCAACAGCTCTGGTGGAGATTCCTGCAGTCAGCATGTCAATTGCACGCTCCCTCAAAAGTTGAGACATCTGTGGCATTGTGTTGTGTGACAAAACTGCACATTTTAGAGTGGCCTTTTATTGTCCACAGCACAAGGTGCACCTGTGTAATGATCGTGCTGTTTAATCAGTTTCTTGATATGCCACACCTGTAAGGTGGATGGATTATCTTGGCAAAGGAGAAATGTTCACTAACAGGGATGTAAATACATTTGAGAACAACATTTGAGAGAAATACGCTTTTTGTGCGCATGGAAAAATTCTGGGATATTTTATTTCAGCTCATGAAACATGGAACCAACACTTTACATGTTGCATTTATATTTTTGTTCAGTATACTTCTGCCCAGGCCCAGTGTCCAGTATCATGGTGAACAGGTTTGGCTGCAGGCACGTGATGCTGGTCAGAGGTTTGCTGGCATCAGCAGGCATGGTGGGATTTTCTTTCACCACTAACATTATACAGCTTTACCTCACCGCCGGTGTCATTACAGGTACCTGCTACATATCACAACACACATCTCACACCAATCATTCTTTACCACATATTTATTATTGATCCACTCCCTCTCTCTATCCAACTCTATCTTATAGCCTCCTACAGCCTGTATACGATTTCGGCCCGGGCCCCCAATGACTCATGCTCTCCCTAACCCTCTATGCTCAGGTCTGGGCCTGGCCCTGAACTTCTAGCCTTCTCTCATCATGTTGGGGAGCTACTTCGACAAGCGACGTCCCCCTGGCAAATGGCCTAGCTGCAGCCAGGAGCCCCGTGTTCCTCTCTGTCCTGTCCCCCCTGGGTCAGGTCCTACTGGACTACTACTTCTTCATCATGGAGGGCTGCTGCTAAACTGCTGCACCTGCGGAGCAGTCATGAGACCTCTGGAGAGGAAGAGGAGTAAGGAGGAAGAGACGGGAGAAGGGAATGCACAAGAGCTGAAAGAGATGCTCCCTTCAAAAGTAGGAAAGGAGAAGAATGAAATAGAAAAGAACCCCCAGAATCAGAAGCCACAGAAAAATAAGCTTCTGGACATTAGTGTTCCGTAACAGAGGGGTTGTGATCTATATCATTGCTAAATTCAATTTGCACAATTACCAAAGCAGTCAACAAGAGCAGAGTCACTAGGCCTACTTCACATTTTAGTAATTGTTATGGGTCTGAAAGCAAACTAAAATAACTTCTATAAAAATGTATTCTGCTCTGAAGACAGTACATGGTTTGTAGTGACTGAAATGCATCAGAAAGGTATTGGGAAGTTCAGAAGATCATCAGGCAATCATGTTGTATGATTTTCTGTGTAGAAAATAACATAATCATTAATGACATTATTTTCCTCCCAGTCTGATTTAGTGCCTGGTGCCCACTCGGTTATAATAGCTTGTGGGCATAGTAGAGGGAAACAGTACGTACGTACGTGTTCCTGAGAGTTATCTTTCAATGAGGGGGTCATATTATTTTGTAGCATAAACCATTCAAAAGATAGACACATTTGTAGGAAGAAAACAGAAACCGCTTGGTTTATTACAACCACAACTAGTGGCTACCGTAGGTTACTGACATAACCCCGGTTATATGAACTAAGCAGCAAATTTTCTCTCACCACCCCATTTTCAAATCAGGCTATCCCGCATGGGGTCGCGACCCCTAGTTTGGGAAACCCTGCTCTACACTCTTCATTCAACCAGTAGCTATATTTGGTTCATTTATCAACACTCGTCTTCAAAATGTACTTTTTGTATTTATCTAATCTCGATTAACCAAGCGTAATCGGTCCACGAGAGTTTATTCTACTTGACTGGTAGGGAACCAAATGTGCATGTTAAAAAATGACCGCCACAAAAGTAATTAGGGCGGTGCTTAGTTAAAGCAACGCACTTACATACCTGTGTTTTCCATTGGCTATTTTTACTTTCCGGACACTGCGCATGTATTTTCCTGATATTAATGGTCTGTTGACAAGTCTGTCAAAATCCCTGGGTAGCGATTGGCTGAAAATTGCGTCATTGCACTCTTAATGCCTTTCACTCTTGTTGCTCTCAGGAATCGGGTAAAAGATAGTGTTCTTGTCTAGCTGGACGAGGACTGTGTCGTGAAGGCCTTTTCTTTGGAAAATAAACCCTCTGTTTAGCTGGAAACAGTGAACTTATTTGTTTATTTTCGGTCTTAGTCGTTCAAGTTCCTATACCAAATATGCCAAGAGGCGGTGAGTATCCAGCGCCGTTATTTTTGCTAACGTTCCAAATGTAACTGTTCGCTATCCAAGCTAGCCAGCAAACGTAACATTACCTCAAGGAATATAGCTGGCTAGCTAACTACTTGGAGGATCTGGTCAAATTTTATGTTCTACTTGAGTAGCCACGTTTCGTGAGAACTGACGTAACGTTAGCTAACTAGCAAGTTAAGTAGTTACAGCTATTAGCTAACTAATTAGCTAGTTAACTTGCTAGCTAGGCTACTGTCACTACAGTAGTAGCTAATGTTAGCTAAACTTGGTCTGGCGAACACCATGTGCACCCAGTTGATTTCATCCATTGACAGCAAAGAAGTTCAATCACTTTAACTTTTAATATGGATTGGATTCTGACATCTGTAACCATGCCGCAGAGTGAACGTCATGTCTGATTCATCTCTCGTTATCTGATCTTCTACAACATGCCTCGCTCTCTCATTTGGGTTTTTTAGGTAAAAAAGGTCACAAGGGCCGGGGAAAGCAGTTCAGCAACCCAGAAGAGATCGACAGACAGATGAAAGCACAGAGAGAGCTGGTGAGTAAAGGATCCATGGCTCTGAGGGGATATCTAGTTTTTGCACCTTGTGATTAACATAGCTCTAAACAGATACCTATATTATAGACCTTCCATACGGGGTTCCAGCTTCGCAAGTGCAATGCATGGGAGATATATTTTCAACCTACCTTTACTTGGCGATATTTTAATTACCGGTAATTCTCGATTTGGAAGGCACCCGTGACTTACTCCCGTTGCAGGTGTAACTCTGAGAATGAGGAAATATTCAGAAATATATTAAATCCACTTTTTGTACTGAGTGTGAAATGCCTTACGAATATGTGTAGATCTTTGTTTGGGTCAAGCTGTTTAAAGCACTGTCATGTTCTTCTACATGTGGCCACGTCACTTAGAAATGACTAGTTCCAGCAATGATGTTGGGAAGATCGAGATGTCCGGCAACTAAATGGCGAGGGAACTCCTTACTTATTTTTCTGAATTCTCTGGTTTTTGGAGTTCCACCTGTGCTCAAGAATGGCGGTATTGTCAAGGATGTTTGAAAATGTTTACCATGCAGTCTATAACCCAGCTGCTAGACCTGCACCAGCTAATTTAGCTAGTAACATTTATCTATATATTCAAAGGTGTGTGTGAAATACATTTCAAACAGACATGACGGCTTGAACATGATCTAACAGGTGTATGTGTGATAGGAGGCGAACGGCGGAGTAGAGAAGGAGGAGGAGAAATCATCAGGATCTGACGACAGCAGCAGTGAAGAGGAGGACGTTGTGAGTGCGGGTTCTCCTTTTAATGTCTAGTCCATCCGCCAAGGAATTAGAAGTGTTGTGGTTTTAATGACTCGCTCGTCAAGATGCTCCTACTCACTTTCAAAGTGTCACCTGCCAACACTACCTTAGTCAGAACTGCATTGTTGACTCTCTGTTCAATGTCTTAACGTTGTCTGTTATTACAGAACAAGAAGAAGAGTGGAGTGGAAGGATTGATCGAGATTGAGAATCCCAACCGCATATCCCAGAAAAGTAAGAAGGTGACAGAGCTAGATGTCAACGCACCCAAAGAGCTGTCACGCCGAGAGAGGTGAGGATCTCACTTTTCCTTCAAGTCTCAGGCCTAATGCCTAAAATGAAAAGATTTGAAGTCAGTAAATTCAGGAATAGCCTTGGGTTAGTGAAGGTCTTGGGAGTGGGTGTAGGCAAGGATACTTTATTATTCAGATGGAAATGATAACGGCAAATGTTATTAGATCTTGAAAGCAGGACCCTGTTTGACCGTCTCGCTTTCTCTGTCTCAGGGAGGAGATCGAGAAGCAGAAAGCTAAGGAACGCTACATGAAGCTGCACCTAGAGGGGAAGACAGACCAGGCACGGGCCGACCTCGCCAGGCTGGCCATAATCAAGAAGCAGAGAGAGGACGCGCAAAAGAAGAGGGACGGCATCAAAAAAGGTGAGGGATAAGGAATCTCTTATAAACTGTGCTTGTCCTTTGTGCTATACTGTCTGACAGCAACACAGGACTTAAATGGCTAATCAGAGAAGGTCATATGGGCACCGTTGTGTTTATTCAGACAGACTGTGGTTGCTCCTTTTGAATTCAGTGCCTGACTGTCTTTATCTGATGGTTTCCTAGAAAAAGAAGCTGAAGACTCCAAGTCCAAGCGTTAGTCCTCTGTCTCCCGAGGACTTGGCCTGGAAAACATTCTGGGGAGGATGGAGAGACGAGAGAAGACTGTAGAAGGGAGGGTACCAATACGAGGGTTGTCAGCTCAGGGGTAACGTATGCTTGGGCTCCTGCCCTTCATCTCTGATGAGGGAAGGGTGTGAGCCGGGCGTTTTGGAGGAGACGGGGAAAGGGGCACTTCAGGTTTCCTCCGTATTCTGTGAGGTCACAACGGCAGGTGTTCTAGTGTCTTCCCTCCTCACTCCTCCCCTGTGTTCTAGTTCTAAAGCTGCTGGAGATAATTCTTTGATTATATTTTTTGCATTTTAACATGGTTTACTTATGAATGGGAAGTGTTTGGGGAGGATGAGTAGGGGTTTGTATACTTTCATCTGACCTGTTTTTAAGGTGAATCAGGAGGTGGTTGGGACGGAGGAACACTAAGATCCACATTATACAGGAAATCTATGTGCTCTTTATTTTCTGTTCTGTTCCATCTCTACCAGTTGTCTTCATTCATAACCTGACAGTTCAAAGGCCTTTGCCTCCAAAGGAAACATGTGGGAAATAAAGGTCCCATAGGCAGTAGTGTCTCAGACAAAACATGTATAAAGGAATCAATCAGCCTTTATGCCACTTAACGTTAGGTGTTGAATTTTCTGGAGTTTTTACCCATTATTCTGTTGGTGTTTCTGCCCAGACACGTTCAGCGCGTTTGAGCCGCCACCTGCCTCTAACTTCTGATTGAACCACCTTGCAGCGTAACATCTGCTAATCAAAAAGGAGATCTGTTGGCATAAAAATTAATTGTGCTAATGATATTTCTCAACACTGAAAAAGCATTGCTGGGGCTTCATACTGTAAGTCTCTTTCTCAGTGTTATGGGTCACTGGGTTTCTCTTCTCTAATTTTGTTGCCTTTGACAGTTTTACACAGGACAATGTCAATGGTCGCGTTCCCCTGCTCAGAAGTTGGTTGCATCAACCAATGGTTGCGTGCCACCTCATCGACTGTGTGGTCGGGCACCAGATTGCTATAACATAATGTGGCTAGCTGATGGGTAAAATACCCTTCCGGGCGTTGTAAGATTTGGCATGCGTAAGCAACACCTGGGCAGAGGAACGCGCCCACTCTCTGGTAGTCATGAGGATGCTATGCTATAGTGTGATGGTTGGAACCTGAGATGCCTTTAACAGGAAAGCAATATTCTCTGAATGGAGGTGGCTGAAACTCATTTCTCTCTTGAAAACATAGTATATACAAAGTGTTTTAATGTTTATAAAAAGGACTCTCCAGGACTGACAGGATTGCCAGATAATTGTTTGATTTTTGTCTGTATTTGAATTAATTTGTGTATAGAAATAAATACATTAATAAATTAATAACCATTGTGTGTTTTTATTTTTATTGAATGTACTTTTAATACATTGTGAAAAACGTTGACTCCACTGCTTGGCTTCTATGGTGTCGTGGAACAGAGTGATGACGCACAAGATTATGATACTGTAGTGGATTTGGGGGACAGCACTGATGGTCGCTATAATACATATAGGTCCAATAAATGATTATATATTTTTTTGACAGATGGTAGCTGAAGACCATATGCTTTGGCAATAGCTTATTGCTAATTTTCCACACCGTTCACCAATCTACCCATCACACCATACCTGTGACTCATATCTCTTTGCAATTTCACTGTGACCACCAGGCTGCAGTATTTGATAAGGCCAAAACAGCCAATCTGCCCATGGGCCTACATGCAACTGTACTGATGTTGTAGATAAACTGGACATTTTTAGAACAGCATGACATCTGTATTTAACCAGTGGTGTAAACTATAATATAAGCCTATCAGAAAGGATACATTTACATCATTTAGCAGATGCTCTTATCCAGAGCGACTTACAAATTGGTGCATTCAATTTATGATAGCCAGTGGGGACAACCACTGTTTTATTTTCTTATGTGGGGGAGGGGAGGGGAGGGGGTAGAATGATTACTTTATACTATTCCAGGTATTCCTTAAAGAGGTAGGGTTTCAAGTGTCTCCGGAAGGTGGTCAGTGACTCCGCTGTCCTGGCGTCGTGGGGGACCTTGTTCCACCATTGGGGTGCCAGAGCAGCAAATAGCTTTGACTGGGCTGAGCGGGAACTGTGCTTCCGTAGAGGTAGGTGAGCTAGCAGGCCAGAGGTGGATGAACATAGTGCCCTCGTTTGGGTGTAGGGTCTGATCAGACCCTGAAGGTAAGGAGGTGCCGTTCCCCTCACAGCTCCGTAGGCAAGCACCATGGTCTTGTAGTAGATGCGAGCCTCAACTGGAAGCCAGTGGAGTGTGTGGAGGAGCGTGGTGACATGAGAGAACTTGGGAAGGTCGAACACCAGACGGGCTGCAGCATTCTGGATAAGTTGTAGGGGTTTAATGGCACAGGCAGGGAGCCCAGCCAACAGCGAGTTGCAGTAATCCAGACGGGAGATGACAAGTGCCTGGATTAGGACCTGTGGCCGCTTTCTGTGTAAGGTAGGGTCGTACTCTGCGAATGTTGTAGAGCATGAACCTGCAGGATCGGGTCACCGCTTTGATGTTAGCGGAGAACGACAGGGTGTTGTCCAGGGTCACGCCAAGGTTCTTTGCACTCTGGGAGGAGGACACAATGAGGTGGGGATCCGACATCCACACTGATATGTCTGCCAGACATGCAGAGATGCGATTCGCCACCTGGTTATCAGAAGGGGGAAAGGAGAAAATGAATTGTGTGTCGTCTGCGTAGCAATGATAGGAGAGACCATGTGAGGATATGACACAGCCAAGTGACTTGGTGTATCGAGAGAATAGGAGAGGGCCTAGAACTGAGCCCTGGGGGACACCAGTGGTGAGAGCACGTGGTGCGGAGACAGATTCTCGCCACGCCACCTGGTAGGAGCGACCTGTCAGGTAGGACGCAATCCAAGAGTGAGCAGCGCCGGAGATGCCCAACTCGGAGAGGGTGGAGAGGATCTGATGGTTCACAGTATCAAAGGCAGCGGATCGGTCTAGAAGGATAAGAGCAGAGGAGAGAGAGTTAGCTTTAGCAGTGCGGAGAGCCTCCGTGACACAGAGAAGAGCAGTCTCAGTTGAATGACCAGTCTTGAAACCTGACTGGTTTGGATCAAGAAGGTCATTCTGAGAGAGATAGCAGGAGAGTTGGCTAGAGACGGCACGCTCAAGAGATGGGGATAGGGTCAAGCGAGCAGGTTGTTGGGCGGCCGGCCGTCACAAGTCGCAAGATTTCATCTGGAGAGAGAGGGGAGGGCAGTGTGAGCAGGACCAGCGGTGTCATTTGACTTAATAAATGAGGATTGGATGTCGTCAACCTTCTTTTCAAAATGGTTGACGAAGTCATCCACAGAGAGGGAGGGGGAGGAGGAGGAGGATTCAGCAGGGAGGAGAAGGTGGCAAAGAGCTTCCTAGGGTTAGAGGCAGATGCTTGAAATTTAGAGTGGTAGAAAGAGGCTTTAGCAGCAGAAACAGAGGAAGCGAATGTAGAGTGGAGGGTGTGAAAAGATGACAGGTCCGCAGGGAGTCTAGTTTTCCTCCATTTCCACTCGGCTGCCCGGAGCCCTGTTCTGTGAGCTCGCAATGAGTCATCAAGCCACTGAGCAGGAGGGGAGGACCGAGCCGGCCGGGAGGATAGGGGACATAGAGAGTCAAAAGATGCAGAAAGGGAGGAGAGGAGGGTTGAGGAGGCAGAATCAGGAGATCGGAGGGAGAAGGATTTAGCAGAGGGAAGAGATGATAGGATGGAAGAGGAGAGAGTAGCGGGAAAGAGAGAGCGAAGGTTGCGAAGGCACATTACCATCTGAGTAGGGGCAGAGTGAGTAGTGTTGGAGGAGAGCGAGAGAGAAAAGGATACAAAGTAGTGGTTGGAGACTTGGAGGGGAGTTGCAGTGAGATTAGTAGAAGAACAGCATCTAGTAAAGATGAGGTCAAGCGTATTGCCTGCCTTGTGAGTAGGGGGGGACGGTGAGAGGGTGAGGTCAAAAGAGGAAAGGAGTGGAAAGAAGGAGGCAGAGAGAAATGAGTCAAAGGCAGACGTAGGGAGGTTAAAGTCACCCAGAACTGTGAGGGGTGAGCCATCCTCAGGAAAGGAACTTATCAAGGCGTCAAGCTCATTGATGAACTCTCCAAGGGAACCTGGAGGGCGATAAATGACAAGGATGTTAAGCTTGAATGGGCTAGTGACTGTGACAGCATGGAATTCAAATGAGGAGATAGACAGATGGGTCAGGGGGAAAAGAGAGAATGTCCACTTGGGAGCGATGAGGATTCCTGTGCCACCGCCGCGCTGACCAGATGCTCTCGGGGTATGCAAGAACACATGGTTAGACGAGGAAAGAGCAGTAGGAGTAGCAGTGTTTTCTTTGGTAATCCATGTTTCCGTCAGCGCCAAGAAGTCGAGGGACTGGAGGGTAGCATAGGCTGAGATGAACTCTGCCTTGTTGGCCGCAGAACGGCAGTTCCAGAGGCTCCCAGAGACCTGGAACCCCACGTGGGTCGTGCGCACAGGGACCACCAGATTAGAGTGGCAACAGCCACGTGGTGTGAAGGGTTTGTATGGCATGTGCAGAGAGGAGAGAACAGGGATAGACAGACACATAGTTGACAGGCTACAGAAAAAGGCTACAATAATGCAAAGGAGATCGGAATGAAATGAACTAAACATCTGGGAAAGCGAGAGAGCGGGGCCTCCCTCACTTATGTTTAACTGAAACACTCAAATATAACTCTCCCACTTCCACTTTAGAAATGATAATTGTTGTAAACTACAGCGGTTCAATGTTTTCTAGGAATAGACTCTAACTTAGTTTATTCAGCTAGCTAACTTGGTACAGTATTCTTCTGTGAAAACCGTCCAGGGCACCGAATCCTATGACGCCATAGCCAACTAGCATGCCAGCCTCCAATAACACGGTTTAGCACCAATACTCGGTTACAACAAACCACCAGTGTGTTAACACGCCAAGCAGATCATTCGTGTCCGTGTCTAACGTTGTGTAAAGTTTTGGGTTAGTTTTGACAGTTTGAGTGAGTACTGTATCGTTATTGTATCACCACTCACATACCATAATTATTAGACTCAATAGATGGTGTTTCCCCTTTTCTCTCTCACATCCCGCTCCTGTGTGTGCTGTGGACAGACAGCTTACATTTACAGAAGCAGAGACCGAACAGAAGACATGAATGTCAGATTGCCCAGTATTATTAGCCCATAATATCACCAGATACATTGTATTTAGATTATTCTGTAAAGTAAAAGTATCTTTCCCCCTTCTGATAACCAGGTGGCGAATCGCATCTCTGCATGTCTGGCAGACATATCAGTATGGATGACGGATCACCACCTCAAGCTGAACCCTGGCAAGACGGAGCTGCTCTTCCTCCCGGGGAAGGACTGCCCGTTCCATGATCTCGCCATCACGGTTGACAACTCCGTTGTGTCCTCCTCCCAGAGTGCGAAGAGCCTTGGCGTGACCCTGGACAACACCCTGTCGTTCTCCGCTAACATCAAGGCGGTGACCCGATCCTGCAGGTTCATGCTCTACAACATTCGGAGAGTACGACCCTGCCTTACACAGGAAGCGGCACAGGTCCTAATCCAGGCACTTGTCATCTCCCGTCTGGATTACTGCAACTCGCTGTTGGCCCGTCTGGTGTTCAACCTTCCCAAGTTCTCTCACGTCACCCCGCTCCTCCGCACACTCCACTGG